AAAATAAATTAAATAAATAGATTTAAACAGAATAAAATAAATACATTTTTAAACAAATAATCTAAAACTTTGTTTAAATTTAAGAAATATTTTTTTTTTAAAATGGTCTGCTGAAGGGTTGGATCTAGGTCAATTTGAATTTCAGAAATAAAACGGGAAAACAAAGAAAAAAAAAAGCATCTTTAAAATTGTAATGTTTTAACATACACGAAATCCTATCTAATTCTTTGATTCAGGTAATCTTGTCTTTGAAGCATACGTATGTACGAGAGAGACCTACAGTACGTTTTCAATTCATCTGTTTCAATATGGGGGCGGGGGGTGGGGGTGTGGGGAGACATTGTGGCACAAAACTTTCACTGCAGTACGATGCTGGGTTCTGCCGATAGCTACTTTCTCCGAACAGAAAAACAGCGATATAGTAAACGTCAGCGATAAAGTAACAGAAAAGTAGTCGCACATCTATGCAAGTTAGCGGTTCGGGATATGACAGTGTAGGGGACAGAGATTTCTCTACTTTGGACAGGATGTCCAGGCAATGATTCTCATCTTCTTTGTCGGAAAGTAGAGGTGTTGTGGGAACAGAATCAGAGTGAGCATTTGCGGTTTTATCTTTTTCATATCTTTGAAAATACAGGGAATTGTCTTCTTTGAGTTCTTGCCGCGTATCTTCTTTCGTCTCGGCGTGCACAGGGCGATTCACTTCCAGAATCTCCTCGCGACTAGTGCCTTTTCTATCTCCAGAAGGGTCATGGTTTTGAGACAGACGTGAGATGAGAAGCAAAGCCCACTGAATGACCACCTCATCCTTGACAGATTCGGCGTGTCTCCAAAAGTCGTTATAACTTGCCGTACTGTCGTCAGAACCGAGCCACTGTGAGAAGTGATCCCGAAGTACCATTCTCAACACCTCCTGCTGCTCCTTGAGGATTCTCAAAACTTTGCGTTTCCGCCGACGAAGAGAGGAAGCAGTCTTCCGGGGTGCCACCAGCAACTCTTGAGCGTGGTCCGTGGCAGACTGATATCTTTCTTCGCACGCTCCCCTCATGTTATCTCGGAAGCTCGTGTCGCACAGGCTCCTGGGGATGTCATAGGCTATACCCTGGCGAAAAAAAGAACGTAGCCATGTATTTCAAAAGAAACACTGCGAGGGGCAGGGCATCAAGGGACGGACAGTGGGAATGCCTACGCAAGAAGAATATACCGACCTCAAAACTAGGAAAAATTGTACAATTGGTACTCAAATGAAAAGGTTTATTAACCTAGGACGGTTATATTTTCAGCAGAGATCGAAAAGCATTTTTGTATACATGTACAATGTACACATGAACTTTTCTCGTTTTAAAGCTATCATGTCTCTGATTACCACACACACACACACACACACACACACACACACACACACACACACACACACACACACACACACACACACACACACACACACACACACATATATATATATATATATAAATATATATATATATATATATATATATATATATATATATATATATATATATATATATATATATATATATATATTATATATATATATCAGCCGCATGAGAAAAATGCACTATGGCTCTTTTCAGTCGTTGCCCGACCAGTGAGGAGGGCATATCAAGTTCGATGGAAATGGTAAGATGTTAAGCTGAACCGACATGTACTTTCTAGATTTAATACATTACATGTATCTTGAGGCTTAGATCTACAACTACTGAATAATCTGCTCATGAGTCAACGTTATTTTCAATTTTAAAAAAATGTTTTAGTCAGAGTTTCAAAGCACTTGCACCAGAATAAAGGTATATAAGTGCCGAAGATTACAGGTGTTACAAGAGTAAAAAGCACTAAAAAGAGGAGAGAATGGACGACAGATGTTTGATAATTTTTTTTAAAGGGGCAAAACCACACCAAAGCACCCTCCAACCACCTAAATATTAGATCTACCGCTTGCTAGAAATAAAAATCCTCGTCAGCTTGAGGTATTATAGTAGCTTAAAAGGAAGATGGGAATAGTTGTTAAGAAGCCCATTCCCCCCACCCCCTACCCCACCCCTCACACACACCCTTCTAGAAATCAAGGAAAAACTTTTAGGCTAACAAGCTTTCTATATCGACTGTACATGGTATACGTCACAATCAGGATTCTTTTTTTTTAATGGGGAGGAGCAAGGGCTACGTCACAGCAAGCAGATGAAGATACTTAATAGTGAAGCATCGTGGTGAAAATAGGCGCTCGTCAAAATAATGAAAGCAAGGAAACACGCATTTTCCGCTCGTTAAGAAATTTTTATCGACACACTTTATGTCAATTTAAAAATAATATTTTTATGGGTGGATTTTACTGAAAATAAAGTAAACCAAAGGCACCACAAAAAAATAAATTTAAAAAAATAAATTAAAAAGACAAATATGGCAAATTTTCATTTTCCAAGGACACTCAAGTTTTGAAAGTCACCAAACTTTGGCGGCCATTTTCTCGCTAATTTTACCTCTGAAACCATACAACACCACCTCTTTTAATCGGAAATATTTCGACTTCTCTTCAAGATAGAAGAGTATTCTTTCAAAGCAAAAGCAGGATAATTGAACAATTAAGCTTTAAGATGAGACAAATAATTCAATAGGTTAGTAAGAAATTGACAAGCGGCTGATTCCCTTGCGTCGTGACACCACCTTGGTATGGAAGTACGTTACATCATTATGTATTTGTGAGGCAGCGTGGTGAAATCAGGCGCTCGTAAAAGTAACAAAATCAGAGAAACAGGCATTTTTCTGCCAGTTTGGAAAATTTTATCGAATTTTTATTTTTTGCTCAGCACATTTCCATATGAATTTTACTTATAAACATTGATTTAAGGCACAAAATATGTCATTTTTCAGTTTTCAATGACTCTTTAGCTATTGGAGTTACCAAACTTTTGAGGCCATTTTCTTGCTAATTTCACTGAAACCAGGCAACCCCACTTTCTTCAATCGCAAGTATCTGTAGTTCTATTCAAGATAAATGGATATTTATTTCTTTGGAAGCAAGGCAAATACATCAACTCCACAAGCCCAAACATTGACGAGCGCCTGATTCCATTGCGGCGTGACACACCTTGATGGGAAAGTACGTTACATCATAATGTATTTCCTCATTGAGCTAATGTACTTAACCCCGCAAGGCGAAGAGTTGAACCATTGTACTTTGCACATCCGCTGACGTCAGTGAGCTCTTGCGAATCCAAGTGTCAACAAGTTGGAAGACTACAAGCACAGTCGATCCCACTTTATTTCTGGACTGCTTAAAGCTTTAAAATATAGAATGTTAAGGGGAAAGAAGGTTGGAGTGAGATAGTGGTAACTACCAAACGCATTCCGTATTACTGAAGACCCAGGCTCTACCTCTGCAGAACCCCACTGAATTTTAAGCACAAGGGGGCTATCCCGAAAAATGCTGTTTTGAGAAAATCGAAGGTGACGTTTTTGGACCCTTGTTCAGTTTCTTTAAAAGACAAGGAGATTTTTCTCTATAACCAAACAAATATATACACACCAATGAAACCAAACTTCTCCTATAGGTAGGGTAATGCCCACTTTTGGTGTAGGTCAAAATTTCTGGAAACCCCCGACATCTGGGTTAGCCCGCTTGTCCTTAAAAGCGACCAATTACCCAACGCATTCCGTGGTCCTGAAGACCCAGGTTCTATCTCTGCAGATCCAAACTGAATATCTACTTGGGGATTGTTTCATGGCTCTCCGCACATGTTACTTTGTACCTCCGGGGTTGTATTCTTCACATTTTAGAATACTTCTAGTGCGAAGATCTCTTTGAAACTTTCAGTGTTTCTAAAAAAATTCATAATTTTGACAGACTGCTATGCAAAGCGTACGGATCAGATTAACGCGTAAATTTCCTTTTTGAAAGTGGTGGCACAGAGTTGCCCACGTCGCATGGATACGATAATAAAACACGACGTACGGATAGGGTTAAAGAAAACCCCCCAAAACAAATAAACAAACAAACAAACAAAAGCAAAGCAAAACTTGACCAACTAGAAACTTGTGCTGACCAAAGTATTCTAATACAGTTAGGCATTAAAATCTAGATCAAGTTCTCGGGTTACTTACATAAAACTAAAACAACCTGATCTGTTTTATAAATCGACGGAGATTAACCCCACCCCCTAAAAAAAACAACAACAACAACAACCAGGAATGAAAAATAAAAACAAATGAAAAGGAAACCGGCAAATTATCTGCATCGGGAATACAGGTGTATTTGGTTGTTTTTCTTTTTCTCTTCCTTACTATCGGGTATTAATTTAAAATAATAAATACAGTATTATGTATCGCACAAATTCCCACTCAACAGCAAACTCTACCCACCCCACAATCTATTACAATACCTGCAATACACTAATAGATCTGAAAGCATTTTCGAACCATTCTGAAACAAATTCAACTTCCCGGAAAACCCATAGTGCACGGGTATTCAAATAATGATCTGTTATCAGAACGACATATACGTGTGTCAAGAGTCTAGTGTGGCCTAGAACATTAACAAAACATAGTTCATTTCAAAAACATAAGATGCTGTTTTTTTGGTTATGGCCAAATGGACTGTAGCGTAGGCCTCAGACTCACAGTAAGTGCATTCTACATTTATTATCTCTACATAATATTATATTTGTGAAAGTCGGTCACTTTGGCCGCCTAAAACTTCCGAACCACTTATCTTTCGAATTTGACAAAATTAATGGCGATTCAGATTCATTTAAAGGGTGCACAGTTTCATTGAGGAGCCTGGAGTCACTGTAGTTTAATTTTCGGTTTTTCATTAGTTTCGTTTTGATCAAACCTTGGGAAAGTTCGTCTTCTAAGACGCCATAGTAAACAAGTGAGGTTTCCGTTCTCTAGCCGTGCGCAGTGTTTCCACAATGACTTGACGATCGACGATCATTTTAAGTCCGTTCATCGAACGTGTACCCAGCTAGTTTATAATATTTGCAAGACAGTTCAGTTTTAAGTGTCTTAACTGGCAACAGTACTCTATGTCTGCTGCAGGAAAGAGGGCAATCGGATGGCACCACAGATAGGTCCTACCCTTTACTTTACCCCTGTGGTTTTTGTAGAAGGAAAGTATAAACCAACCTGTCTTCTCGCATCTCGATAACCACAGCCCTCTTTTTCCTACGTCTTACTTAACCAAGAGAGAAGCTCTCGAGCAGCGGCGCACATCTACTAGTGGAAGTGGAGCCTTTAAATGTTAAAACGTGGCACATTTTTCTCTGCCAGAGTTGATCACTTTTAAGCACTTGGGGGCTCTCCCCCCAAAAATCTGTTTTGAGAAAATCGAAGGTAAAGTTTTTGATCCTTGTTCAGTTTCTTTAAAAGACAAGGAGAGTTTTCTCTATAATCAAACACTTATACACACCAAAGAAACCAAACTTCTCCTATATGTAGGGCAATGACCACTTTTGGTGTAGGTCAAGATTTCTGGAAACCCCCGGAACCTGGGTTAACACGCTTGTCCTTAAACGCGATCAATTGTTCTCATTGGCCCCCAGCAAAAGCCACAAGTAAATAAAACCTTTAATTCTTCAACTTCATTTTCTTCTATTTCGCTGGAGAAATATTCTCCACTGCGGATGTATTGATCATCGTAATACAAATAAAACCTTTAATTCTTCAACTTCATTTTCTTCTATTTCGCTGGAGAAATATTCTCCACTGCGGATGTATTGATCATCGTCAAACATTGACGGACGAGCTATTTATACGGGGTGCCCACTACGGATGGGATTGGCGGGTCGGGCCGATCGCCCAACTCGGTCGCCTCAAAAACAAACGTATTCGTTTTCAGTTTCAGGCGACCGAGTCAGGCGATCGGCCCGATTCAGCCGTAGGGCACCCTGTATAATGTTACTGTCCCCCCCCCCCCCACCCCCACGGCGACCACGGACCTGTACAGTGAGTCAAGTATATGTATCTTCAAAATGGGGAAAAGGGGGGGGGGGGGCAACTTCACTTTGACGACTTAATTTTCCTTTCCCTTTCAGCAACTTACACACTGGTAGCAAACGTCATGGCGATTGCAGGAAGGCGTGAAGGTTTGTTTGTAGACGAAGGGCAAGCCGAAGGGAATGCTGCAGCCGTTCACTTCAAAACGATCACAGAAGTCAGGGTCACTCCAAGAAAGAACCTGTGGGGTGTCAATGGGAGAGTTTTCTGGGAAACTAGTGCTGTCTTGGAAGGTTTCCACTCCGGGTACGACTTCCTGTAAGTCTGTGCCACCACTGTTAGGCGATCTGTTGCGGTGGAGGTCAGCTGTGATAAAGGCAGATCGGTAGGTTGATGATTTCTCGGCTTGTATCCCACAGAATGATGACGTCATAAGCACGCATGACCAGCAGATGACAAGTCTTAGTGACGTCAAGCCATTGGTAGGAGACATCATAAGCAGCAGAAACACCTGTATGAAAGGGAGGGGGAGTCAAATTCGTGTCACATGAATTTTTTTTTTTTTAAGGCGAGGTTTTTGTTTTGTTTTTTTAAGACTGTTTGCTAGATTTTTTTTTGCTTGTTTGTTTGTGGACCGCCCAAATTTTGGGGAAACTACGGCAATAATGTTATTGTTCAACAGCTGTCTCTGGATAGCTCTAAAGGGGACGACTCAGTTCTTGTTGAAATATCGCTATCCCAGATATACAGGGTATTTTCTGTTCAGTAACTAGTTTTGAGAAATTTGACGTTATAAATTTAGAGTTTCACAACATGTCAAGCTTTTTCGAAAACAGTTCTTTGAATATCTTGATAACAACCACGAATAATCTTACGATTTTGATAGAGTAGAGAGAACATTTGGTTTCTGACCTCATGGTCTTTTTCGCTCAAAATGTTAAAAAATGTCAGATAGAACGTTGTAATTTGAAGGTAGTGATACATGCACGCACATAAAAGGTCGCTTTTAAGCTCTAGGGGGCTATCCCGAAAAATGCTGTTTTGAGAAAATCGAGGTAAACTTTTTGGACCCATATTCAATTTCTTTAAAATACAAGGAGAGTTTTCTCAATAAACAAACACATATGCTCATCAGTGAAACCAAACTTCTCCTATAGGTAGGGCAATTCCCCCAAAATCTGGGTTATCCCACTTGTCCATAAAAGCGACCAAAATATATGTTATGAGAGCTTGGAATTGGACTGGGCGCCAGCAGAAGATCAAGACTTAGTGGGAGGAGCAGAAGGATATTAATAGTTACTCCACCGTTAGGCGATCTGTGCATACTATAAGGGTGTGGGGAGAAAGAGAGAGAGAGAGAGAGAGAGAGAGAGAGAGAGAGAGAGAGAGAGAGAGAGAGAGAGAAAACAAAGGGAGG